TGCCAAGCATGTTCCTGAGCTGAGAGAAAACACTAACACAAAACAGCATAGTGAGGGGACAATCCTGAGCCTGCCATGCCAATGGAAACCTAGAACCAGGCTTCACTGAATTGCCCTCGTGTCAGGCAGATGGGAAGGCCTTCCTATTGGTGCAATAGAAGACTTTTATTTGTTAATGTTATGGGAGACCAGGCCTGCTGACAGGTAATGGAATGGGAGTAATGGGGACAACTGCCCTGGGACCTGTCCACTCAGAAGGGCCTGGAGGTATGTCTATACTACAGAGTTTTTTCAGAAAAATAGCGTTTTTTCCAAAAAAGCTTCAATTATGTCCACACTGCAATCACATTCTTTTGGGAAAAAAATCGAAAGAACAGAGGGGTTTTTCTGACATTGGTAAACCTCTTTCTACGAGGAAGAAGCCTTTTTCTGAAAAAGGAAGAACGGCTCTTGTGCAAAAGGGGGTTTTTGCACAAAAAAGTGCCATCTACACAGCGTTTTTTTGAGCAAAAAGCTCTTGAGCAAAAGGGAAAGGAAGAGGAAATGCAAATGAGAGTGCTGCATTTGCATTTGCTCTTCCACAAGAGACTTGTAGTATAGACGTAGCCTAAGGCTAATCATTAACTAATTTCGAGGCTTCCCTGTAGTGTGGACATGCTGTTTCAAAATAGTTATTTTGGGAGTTATTATTTCAAACTAAGTTCTTTCAAAATAATTTCCTAGTGTAGACATGTCCATAGTAACTATGTCACCTGGAAACTAGAAAGCAGTCTCACTACAACTACAGTGAGTGATGGTTAGAAAGAATAATAAAGCAAATGGAGAATGGACAGTGGCTTGATCTATATCACAAACCACAACCTTAAAACAGGCTCCAAGGTACTTTGGAATGAAGTGCAGCTCCTCAGTTCATAATTAAGGTCAGCAAATGTCTAGAAGTACATAGTGTGTTCTATCAAAACCCTACCCAATCGCCTCTAGCCCCATTCTGTATCCACAAAACCCTATCTAATCTGTTTTAGTTCAGTCAGGCAGCATTGCTACGCTTGGCACTGAGCAGGGAACAATAGGTTGGACCTCCCTGGTCCGGCACCCTCAGGACCTGACTGGTTTTTCCAGACCAGGGAGGTCATTTCAGGATCCCTGCTGCTGCCTTCCCCCACCGCTGCTACTCCCCCATGAGCTGTTTGGCTCCCCCCATGGCCCAGCTGAGCTGCGCGCCTGCTTCCTGCACCCTGGCAGCCCAACTGAACCACATGTCAGCTCCTGCCCCCCCCCTTCACAGCCCAATTGATCCATGTGCTGGATCCCGGCCCTCTCTTACAGCCCTACTGAGCCACGTGCTGGCTCCTGGGCCCCACCACCTTGCAGCACTGGGACTCTCTGATCCTAGAATATCTGTGGTTATGCTGGACCACGGATGTTGCTGGACCAGAGAATTCCGGTTTTTACAGGTGCAACAGGTAGTGGATAAAAACCTGCCCTGAAAATGTAAGCAGCTTCTGTGGTAGATTCTCTCTTCAGATTCAGGCTCTCGTAGGTTCTTCATCCCCAGATATGGAGGACTGCCAACAATTCACATGATGAGGAAGTATACAAATTTTCTTTATATCATTATGGGCATGTCTACACAGCAGCATTATTTCATAATAATGGACATTATTCCAAAATAACATATTGCACATCTACACAGCAAGCTCATTATTTCAAAATAAATTTGAAATAACCGGCTTCTTACTCCAACTTCCGTAAACCTCATTGTATGAGGAGTAAAGGAAGTCAGAGGAAGAGTACTTTATTTTGAAATAAGTGCTGTGTAGATATGCCCAAATTCTAAATAAGCTATTTTGAGTTTAGCTACGCAATTAGCGTAGCGCAAGTTGTATAGCTTGTTTTGAGTTTCGCCCTGCTGTGTAGACATGCCCTATGTGACTTCCTCTTATGACCTATATAGGGCCTGATTCTCATTTACACTAAGGATCTTTTACATTGCCTTATATTAGTTCATTTATTTTGAAATAATTTTCTAGTGTAGTCATGACCTAGTTGTATTAGCCCTATAATATAGTTTTAGCCTAATGACCAATGGGTCTGTTTTTCAGGCTTTATGCATTCAGGACTATGGTAATGTATGGGAAATAATAACATGTAAACATAATTCAAAAATTCTGAGGTTCAAGTCAAATAACAATCCAAACATTCTGCTGTTTTTCTGAGCCTCTTTGGTCTAGAAATCGGCTGGAAATGTCAGAAAATCCAGCTTTTCAATGAGATTTCTGGTACTTCCTTCTTCCAGCCAGGCAGGAAGTAGTTTTTCTCTTTGTGTTTTTATTATTTCTGCTTCAGTTTAACAGAAGCTGGGAAATACAATAGTATTATAAATCCTGAATTATATGAAATTTCTTTGGCCTGCAGACAGGTCTGGGCTTGGTTTGAGATTTAACCAAAGAACTCATCTAATTCTGATTTCAGTTGTGCCTGATTCCTAGTTATAATCAGTGGGCCACTGAACATGTTATCTCAGTTGGTGGGATCTAGAACTTATTTTTTTCCCTAAATGAGCCATGCAAGATGAATAATAAATGTTCCAGGTCATTGTGACATGGAGAGTGGGAGAGCCTCTAACTATACACAACATGCTTTTCTGTCTCCTTGTGCTTCATCTCATACTGATGTTTGGCAACAAGTTCATCTTGCCTTCCCACTCCAAAGTCACCACTGTTCTCACTAATATTTGACCCTCAACTCTTCTCTCATTCCTCATTAGTTTGTCTTACTCTGTTTCCAGCCAGGCTCCCAGACATTTCTTTTCTAAAATGTCATTCACTCTTCCTAGTGGTATCATTAGCCCAATTGACATTGCTGCAAGTCTGAGAGAAATCACCCTGAATGTGGACTTTGCAGGAGGAAATATCAGTTACAAAGACATAAGAGGACTGGGGTGCCACATGTCTCAAATTGCAACATTCCCTATGATGAGATGGGAAATTTGAAAGATCAGAGTTTGAGGTGGGATCCTATGTCTGGATGGTGCTGAATTCCAGTCTATGATTGTGTTTGGACTTAAAGGTGAGTCATTCTAAGCTGTTGCCAGTCAACATCTTGACATGTGGAGTGTTGCTGTTCCAGCAGGACTTCCAGGACCAGGGATCATATAATCGGTGCTGTATCTAGAGC